ATATGAACCATTTAAAGTCTAGCAAATCAGACTTTTAATAGCATCTTAAACACTTAATATCATCTAACCTCAAATTCATCTAGAGCTCATATCATAGGGAGGAGTGCTTACGCGTTATTTAGCATCTAAAGCATATATTCATCTTTACTCAACCGGTATACGAGGATATGCTTACGCGTTTTCCATCATGTCTATATGCATCTCTATCATGTCTATTTGCATCTCTAACATCTTATGGTATGTAAATACATATTTTGGTGAGCTTAATACTTTTAATTCATCTATGGATTATCAATCCATTTACATTACCTCTTGCTCACATACATCATCATAAAACATGTATTACATTGCATCTTCATGCCATTTCATAACATTAATCATGCATTGACATTATAACTATATATATCTTTCAAAGATAATCTAACTAATGGGTAAACATTAGTACATGGCATAATTACAATAATACATTAATAATCAATTCATAATCATAAGAATTAATCATGTTAAATCTTAAACTTTAATAACTAGAAATTTATATTTCAGGCCATTTTCCATCCATTTCTAAAATGAATTGGCTCTTGGCATAAAACATAAAAGTTGTAGGGCAATCTCTTAAATTTCTAGTGCTTCAAGAATCATCTCATTTCAATTTTTATAACTCAAGTTATGGTCGAAATACTGAAGCATGTTTAGCATAACCCATAAGCTTACCAAATCCGAATTTTTCATATTAAACTATGCCACATCAATTCCTATTGACAATTAACCAACAGGTCAACTTATGGATCAAATAAACCCCCCTTAATAGTCTTGAACATCTTAAAGGAAGTGTAAAATCTCATTCCCATAATCATCCATTAATGTTATAACATTTTAAGCTAATGCAAACAACACATCAACACTTCTAATAGCAACCATTCAACACCATGTGGCCTCCAATTTACAAATTTTGCCACAATCAGCATCCACACTTCATTTTCTTCAATCAAACATAACAACTCATAAAACATAAATAGCAATAACTTCATGTATAATGAATTCAAGGCAATAAATAGAATAAATGAGTTCAATTACACTTGCCATCAACTAATTTTTTTTTGGATAAGGTAAGTATGAATAAAAGACAAAAATTTATAAATACGAGGGGCATACCCCAAGAGGATGACTGATAACTCTCAGTCAAGAACCCGTGGGAAAACCCACAAAGTCATGAACAACAAAAAGAGAGCACGCAAGCTCCCCACAAAGCAAGAAGATGCCATAAATAATAAAGCCACAAACCGGCATAAAAGAGCATGCAGGCTCACCACAAAACAAATCCACAAACCGGCACAAAAAAGCATGCAGGTTCTGTACAAAGCTAGTCAAGAAGATTCCATATCACACGGAGCTGAGTCGAGATCTCGTACTTAGGTGCTAGACCCAAAATCTTGGCCCGAACTAGATCAAAAATAGCTAAGAAAATATCTCTGCGAGAGCTACAATGCTGACGAAACACGCGATTATTCCGTTCAAACCATAGGAAATTGTGGCTAAAAGGACCAACCGGGAAAGAAGGTGGCTGAAGTCACCTTTTCGTCGAAGATGCAAGCTAGCCCACTGGAGCAGAGGGAGCCAGGAGAGAGTAGGCCATGTAGAAAGCGTCCTGGCAGTGACCTCCTGCCAAACATAACTGGAAAAGTCACAGCTGAAAAACAAATGGTCATGGGTCTCTATAGCTAATCTGCATAAAACACATCGGGAGGACATAATGACACCATGAGAGCTGAGCCGATCCATGGTGTGAAGCCGACCAAGAGAAGCAAGCCAGAGAATGAAAGAGTGATATGGAATATGCCGAAGAAACCACAAGAGATAATGAATCGAGTTCACATCTCGTTTGTCTCGCAACACATTCCAGGCTGAATCAATAGAGAAATGTCCAGATGGATGGCCCTTCCACACAAGATGGTCAGGATGACTCGCTGAAGGCTGCACTGTAATAGAGTCCCAGATATGCTGAAGGTCTGCACTGCCCGAAGGAAAGTCCCACAAACCATCCCGAATAATGTCTGAAACCCGAGCATCCCATAGCAAACAAGTGGAAGCTAAGCTTCTAAAAGGGAGCAAGTCACATAGAGGACCCTGCGGAAGCCAGTGATCTCGCCATAACATGGTGTCTCTACCATCTCCAATACAAGTCACAATAAGACCCTGGCACCAAACCCTGCTAAGTAAAATCTTCCTCCAAGCCCATGAAGCCCTAGAAGTAACTGGGATATGCCAAAAGGACTGACCACGGAGGAGAACCGAACGGGCCCAAGAAGACCATATAGAAGATCTATCAGTAAGCAGCCTCCAAACGTGTTTGAGAATAGCCGCCATATTCCAATCTTGGATCCTCTTAATCCCCAGGCCACCCTCTGTCAATGGATAGCAAACAGAAGACCATGCAACCTTAGCACCAGAAGGGGACAAAGAAGTACCCTTCCAAAGAAACGAGGCAAAAATACTCTCAATCCGTCTAACTGTAGCTGCCGGCAAAAGAAACATGGAGGACCAATAAACCTGTATGGAGAAAAGTACCGACTTAATCAACTGTAGTCGGCCTGCATAGGTCAAAGATGCCGACGTCCATAGCCTAATCCGAGAGAGAATTCGCTCCAACAGAGGCCTATAATCAGAATGTCGAAGGCGGGTAGAGATTAGAGGAACCCCTAGATATCTTACCGGTAACTGGCCCAACTGGAAACCCATGATAGACTGTAACACAATCTGCTCCTCATCTGTAACTCCAGAAAGAAACAACTGGCTCTTCTCTGTATTAGTCACTAATCCAGAAACCTTAGCAAAATAATCCAAGGCCGATATGATCAAGCTAACAGAGGAAGCATCTGCTCTACAAAACACCATCAAATCATCCGCAAAACACAAATGAGTAATAGCTGCCTGCCTACATCTCAAATGATACTGAAAACCAGGGCTGTGAGAGGTTTCCCGAAAAATACCAGCTAACCCCTCCATAGCCAACACAAAAAGGTAAGGAGAAAGAGGGTCCCCTTGCCGCACACCCCGGGAGGACCTAAAAAATCCATGAAGCTCTCCGTTCAGGGCAACAGAGAAATACGGTGTAGAGATACATGTCATGATCCACCTCACCATACGCTCAGGAAAACCCACAGTACGCAATCCCAAAAAGATGAACTCCCAACTCACAGTATCAAAAGCTTTTCGAATACCAACTTTAAGGGCACATCGAGGTGAAGTACCCCCAAGATGATAATTCCGCAAAAGCTCCTAAGTCAGCAGAATATTATCAGAAATCCTTCGACCCGGGACAAAAGCTGACTGGGAAACCCCAATAATATCCGAAAGTACAATTTTAAACCGATTCACAATCACCTTAGAAATGCACTTGTAAAGTACATTACAACAAGATATCGGCCTAAAGTCTGTCATACGACTCGGGCTCTCCACCTTAGGAACCAAAGAAATCCTAGTGGCATTAACACATCTTGGCATTTCATTAGTAGCAAAAAAATGTCTCACTGCATCCCTGAAATCTGAACCAATAATATCCCATGCCCGCTTAAAAAACAAAGATGTGAATCCATCCGAGCCGGGGGATTTATCATCCGGGATAGAGAATAAAGCAATCCTAATCTCATCATCAGTGATAGGAGCAGTCAATGGAGAAATCATATCAGGAGAAATGCGGCCAGAAAAATACCTGGAAGCCTAAGCAATCTGAGGTTGACTAGGGGTAGTAAGAAGATCCTGAAAAAAACCCACCGCCAAACGCCCTAAACCCTGACTGTTAGTAATATGTGTACCATTCCCATTAGTCAAACCATGGATGCGGTTCCTATGGATCAACGACTTATGAAAGAACTTAGTATTCTGATCCCCTAAGTGCAACCAGTGAACACGAGACCGCTGCTTAAAGAAAGTCTCCTCATCTCGACAAAGACTAAAATACTGGTTGGCAAGTTTCCTCTCCTCAGAGATAAACTCAGTAGAAAAGAGGTCCCGATCCAAATTTCCCTGGGCTGCTGCCCACCGAGCCCGAGCCTCAATTACCCTGCTGGAGATATGACTGGAAACCCTAATATGTAAAGCTTTTAGCTTCCGTTTCACTAACCCCAATTTTTGCGTAAGACGGAACATAGGATTGCCTACAATAGGCTCGTCCCAAATTGCCTGAACAATATCCCTAAAATTTGCATGATCAACCCAAAAATTTAGAAATTTAAAAGGGGATGGTACCTTGCCATGGCGGGGACTAAATCGGACGATAATAGAGTTATGATCTGAAACATCTCGAGGTCAGAACTCTGAAACTGTGCTTGGTCGATCATGGAACCAAGAAAGTGATGCAAAGACCCAATCGAGCTTCTGTAAAATAATCCCATTGCCCTATTGACCGTTATGCCAAGTACACCGAAGCCCAGTAAAAGGAACCCCAATCAACTCAACATCATGGATACATTGGCCAAAATTATCCATATAACCATACCACGCAGGATCACCACCCACTCTGTCAGAGGCTCCCAAGATGGCATTAAAATCACCCAACACAAGCCACGGGAGCCCCTCTGAATCAAACACTGCCGACTGATCCCTAAGGAAATCCCACAGATTGCGGCGATGCCCAGGGTCATTAGAACCATACACAAAAGTAATCCCAAATGAGAACCCCTCAGAAACATGAGTAACCCTGCAAGTAATCTCCTGAAGAGAGCAATGAAGACTATGCACAGAGTAAAGAGAAGAGTCCCAACATACCAGAACACGGTAAGCAATAGAATCTGTCGCATTCGATAAAAACTACCACGAAGGACAAACAGACGAGACCACTGACTGTAAATGAGACTGCTCAACCTTAGTCTCCAACAAACCAATCAAACCCAAAGAAGAGTCAGAAATCCAATTCCGCATAGCGCGTTGTTTCAAGAAGCCGTTAAGGCCTCTAATATTCCAACTCCCTATCATTGGAATTGGGATAGAAACAAGCTAAGAAATCACTTGAGCCGAAGCCCCCGCTTTCCCCGACCTATCCCCTTTGCCAGGGGTGGCAAGGAAACTGATCCAGATAAGGTGGCATCCGGTGTCTGGAGATCGTCACTATGCAAAACAAGCGAGGCAAACCTGTTGGAAGAGGTAGATTGCCTACTCCCAGAACTCATAAAGGACTGAGTGTTTTCTGTGCAATTTGTAAATCCCATAATACGGTCTTGCTCATCCTCAATAGGAAAAGGGGAATCAGGTTCAAACCCCGATTCAGAGCCAGAAAATTCACCTCTGCTAGCACGAACAGTCTGCTGATACGGGACCAAAGCCAGAGAAGCATCCCCAACTCTAACTATACTTGGAACTGAAACTGTAGATGACACTAAAACATCCCTCTCCATCCCCCGGTCTCTCTCCCTAATGGGATCAATAGTGGCTGGCTGATTCAAAGGCTCGTAGTTCTCAGATTGCACTGCTTTCCCTGGTGCCTTCTGGAAACTAGTAACTATCTTATTCTTACCCTGAGCTATGGCTGCAGTAGGTACCTCTGGCTGGTGACAAACATGACCAAAAACACAGCATTTAAGGCACATCTTAGGGGTCCACTCATATTCCACTATAATCTGAATAGGCTCTGCAGATAACCGGCACTGAAATTCAATATGACGTCTCAAAGGCTTTGTAGCATCTAGCTCAACACATACCCGAGCATAATCCAAACGGGTCCGCTCTGATGTTGTCTTATCACTAGACAACGGTCGACCTAACATAGAGGAAACCATGCAGAGTCCTTTGTGGGACCACAAAGGATAAGGGAAACCATGCAAACAAGCCCATACCGGAACTCTAGAGATGCAGCTTTTATCAAAAGTAAACTGAGCATGCCATTGTTGCAGAATAATACACTTACCCCCAAACATCCACGGCCCTCTCTCAAGGATTGAATGCACCACATCCTCATCCCTAAATCTAAAAATGTAGAAGCCAGTACCTGTGGACATAACATCTTCCAACCCTGCAGCTTCCCATGCACGGAAAGCAATTGAGCGGACAGCATGAAATGGCATAGAATACCCCGGGAAATAACCCACAATACAGCGAAGCCATTCAACATCATTGTCATCAATAACATCATCCGGTATATGTAAGATGTCATCATTAATATCAAGGTCCACAGCTTCAAGTGTGAAATGGGACCCGACCTCTGTCACTCTAACCTTGTCAGCCCAAGTGGAGGACACTTTTGATGTGCTCTTTCCCATACTTTCCTGCTCTTTTGGCTTAGGGACTGGCTTTTTTTCACGGGGCTCAAAAGATGCCCAATTGAGCTTGAAAACCTTTTTAGACTTCGGCATTTTCAAGCCATTAAACAATTGCAAAGACAAACCTGCAATATCATTAGAATCAAACTCAAGAAAACCAAAGGAAGAGTTTTTGTGATGAAAAACCTTGGCTCCTCGAATCGCCACATTTGAGAAAACGGATAACAAATACTTGTCATCCATCCATGGCTCCAAATCCCCAATCCATAAAGATTTCCTCGAATTCCCGAAAGTTTGTGGCTGTTGGGAGCTGGTTGAGACAGTGTTTAATGTTTTGGCTTGGGTTGGGGGCAGCACGGGGTTGTTTGGGTGTGAGGGGTTTGGTTCGGACATTTTGTCGAACACTTAGTTGCAGGAAAAAAAGGTGTGATTTTGGTGAGTTTCAGAGTTTGTAAGAGCGGGGATTTGTGAATCAGTGGTTGCGGTGAGAGAAATTTGTGAGAGAAAGTTTGTATGAAAAGATTGTGGGTGTAGTATTACTCTTTGTAACACCCCCCTCCAGCCGGGTACCCTCTAAGTATTCCATTAGGATGGAAAATTAGAGAATTCACGCCTGGAAGGTTGTGTTACACTCTTATTGGACATAACCAAAGAAGCATAACATGGAAGGGGAAAACTTTAATAAAGAGAACTTTAAAATAGCGTTTGGTTTGGTATGTGATGAAAAATCAGAACTTCCCACAACCTGATCTTTCTCATAATAGTCTATCTATTAACACTGCATTCAAAGTCAAATCTTCCTTTCCATAACTTTGGTCGTTGCAGTTATCAAGTTGCAACTCGATATAATTCCCAAGTATCTTAAGAACTGTAAATCGATTACAACAACTAGATCTTTTTTACAATAAAATCAGTGGTCAAATACCTAATTAGATGTGGAACATTGGAAATGATACGTTGTCATTTCTAAATATTTCCCACAACAACCTGACCAGCATAGAGTAGATTCCCTTGAAGAATCTTGATATTCTAGACCTTAATTCGAGCAAGCTCTAAGGATCACTTCCAATTCCACCATCTCTCTTGACAGTGTTATTATTGTCAAACAATAAATTGATTGGATTCGTTGCGATATCATTAGCAACTTTATTTTCATAGTACAAAATGATCAGTTTTCTTGTTTGTACCTCTAAATCTTTCAGTAATCCAAGGATCTAGACAATCTCGCAAGTTGTTTTTGCCATGGCCCTATATTCTACTTCTGTTGAGGAAAGCGATATCGTTGACTGCATTTTGGAGCATAATCTCAATAGCATCAAACTCATTCCAGATCACTGAGAGGCGATTGAAATATGTTGTTACAGGCAAGTTGTGTTGCTTGATGTCGATGAGGTTTTTATGCAAAGTGAAAATTTTTGCAAGGTCCAATTGACCATACATCTCTCAGATATTTGCCCATATTTCTTGGGCGTTTTCGATTTAAGGAAGTCCGACAGCAATCTCCTTGGTCAAGGAGTTGCTAATCCATGCACAGACAAGGGTGTTACACCCATTCCAATGTTTGAGAAACTGGGGTTCATCTGGCCGAGGAAGGGTTCCATTGATGAACCCTTCCTTGTTTTTGGTTATCAGGGCTCGCTGGAAATCCCTAGCCCAGGTTGCATAATTTTGAGATCCGGCCAGGGGTTGTTTAACGAGCAGTAGCTAAGAGCCATCAGATATTGGCAAGAAAAGAGCATCCCCTAGCTCCAGCCGATTGGTGGTGATTGGAAGGATCTGAAAAATTAGGTAGGGACTTGGACCCATCGGGTTGAAATTATAACCCACAAACCCGAAAGGAATTGTGTCGGTTTGATAGTTAGACCTGATTTGGTTGTTTGACCAGTTTGTTAATTTGGGCCAGTTTGGTGATGTGGGCTTGTTTGGTCGTTTGAGCTTGTGTTTGGTGGCTCATCTGTGGCTGTGGATTCTGTTAGTTGGTGTTAATGGTGTTTTCGTTGGATCCATTGTTGGCTGTTGTTTTGTGTTTGCAGGTTTGGTTTGGGTGTAAGAAAATTGTAAACTAATCCTACTACCTTGTGTTTACAGGTTCTAGGAACAATGACTTTAGAGAGGATTATTTTGGCGGAAGCGAGAAGGCTCTGATACCATGTCAGAGTTTAGACTAGAAGAGGCAAGAGAGGTAAGACATTATCGAAGAATATGGTATGTCGTCTACGCAAGTCCTTGTATGGTTTGAAACAAGCATCCCGCCAACAGAATGCAAAATTCACAAAGGCTCTAAATACGATGGGTTTCACTCAATCCAAGCATGACTACTCACTCTTCACATGGCCCACCTCAAATTCTATCATGGTATTAGTAATCCTCCTATTCAATAAGGTCTTATTATGTGAGGAGTCGTGTTCACCTCAAATTCTATCATGGTATTAGAGCTATGCCTAATTAAGCTGAGTGCTTGATCAGTGGGTGAAGAGTTAGAGCTAGTAACTACCTCTAACAACAGGCATGACCCAACATATGGGCTTGACCGTGAGGGGGAGTGTTGGAGTCCCACACCGACTAGGCACGCTCAAGCCTACTGGTTTATAAGAGGGGATAATCCTCCCATTCAACAAGGCCTTATTGCGTGAGGAGTTAGACCCACCTCAAATTATATCATGGTATTGGTAATCCTCCCATTCAACAAAGCCTTATTGGGTGAGGAATTAGACCCACCTCAAATTCGATCATCCAACACAAGATCTTTGAATAATCCACTCAGATAGCTAAAGTCTTACCGTACTCTAAAAACATATTTCTTGCCATGATTCTTTTTCCCCTAAAAATTGCGGCAACAGTAGACTATTAATTAGTATATATATATACTCTCCAACATTTTAGGAAGAATAAGATGGTACTAGTTTTAATTTGGCCAAGGTAATAAAGGAAAAGGAACAAGGAATATTGCAACTAAGTAAATGAATTATGTACAAGATTCATTTAAAAAAAAAAAAAAAAAAAACTTGTTAGTACGATGACATTACCTATTTGAAAACAGGCTTTGATGAGTTCCATCTAATATTGCTCACACAAATTTTCCAATTTTAAATAATTGTTGGAGTATAATCGAAAAACCTTTAGCCATTGGGGTTAGTTATACCTAGGGCTGGTTAACGAACCAAGCCGCTCGCAAGCTGGCTCGAGTCTGGCTCGTTAACGGCTCGGTTTGTCTGATAACAAGCCGGCTCGACTCGACTCATGAGACAAAACGAGTCGAGTTCGAGCCATACAAGACTCGGCTCATCAGGCTCGCGAGCCGAGTCAGGCTCGAAAAAGCGGGGGGTTTTTTGAGAATTTCTAAACCATTGGGATTTAATTGAAAATAATGCAAACAAGTTTTAAAAAATAACAAAATGGTCCCCGTTATTAAAATCCCCAAATCACGAAAAATCCGTCAGCAGTGAACCCTTGCCGTAAAATTTGAATCAAACTCCTCCCAAAGTGTTGATTTTCGGCCAGATCTTGTTCATCTTTGTCAGCTTCACCCGATCTTTGCCGGATATTGTTCATCTTCGTCGGACCTTCGACAGTCGTTGGATCTTCGTCATCATTGTCATCTTCGTCGGATTTTCATCAGATCTGAAGTGGATATCGTTGGTTCGTCATCATCTTCGTCAGATCTGAAGTGGATATTGTCGATTCGTCATCATCTTCATCGGATTGTCGTCGGACTTTAATCGGTCAGTAGAGGACTTTAATCAGTCGATTGGGATTTAATTGTTTGTTTGGGGTTTGGGGTTTCTTCAATTTTATTTGGAGATGGTTGCTGCCCAGACAAAGTTAAATTATGATTTGCATTTATTTGAATTTCAGACATTGGAGAATAAAGAAACGCAAGCCAACAAAATTTGAAGAGCCCTTTGCCTTTGAGGAATGAAGAAAATAATATTAAAAAAATTATTTTGATTTTTTATTGATAAAAGAATAAATAATTTAAACAAAAGAAAATGTAGGTGGGCAGTCAGACGACTCAGACTGCTGCCCAGCGAATTTTTGTAAAAAATATTGAAAAAAAAAATTATTTGGAGATGGCTCGCGAGCCGGCTCAAAACATGCCTAATCCATTACCGAGCCGAGCAGAGCCATATAATTTATGGCTCGGCTCGGCTCGGTCTCGGCTCGTTTACTCTTCCCCTCTCACGAGCTGAGCTCGTTAAGCCGAAAACTCGGCTCGGCTCAATAACACCCCTAGTTATACCTAAGAGGTCTTGTGTTCGAGTTGCAAAAGAGATACCTACCACATTTGTGTAATTACCTTAGTTCATTGGGCTTGTAGGGTGTTCCGTGATCCTAAGGATTAGACAAGCTTCAATGTGGGCCTGGACACCTCAAATACCTAAAAAAAAAAGACACAGGTCTAACAAAGCCACAAGTTTTACATCAATTTTGAATTTATTATTATACCTTCGTTGACTTATAGTATAACGGTTTATAAATGAACAAATCTTATCCCATACTAATAAGTAGTATCCTTAAGTGGATTTTTTTTTTTTTTTTTTAACTTGTGTTTGGGTCAATTTGTGCACACCTCAACTGATCCCCATGGTTCATTAAAAATCCTTCAAGCCCAATGGATTAGGTAAGTCACAAATATGATAAGTAACTATTTTGTAAGATTCTAACACAAGGCCTTTGGATAACCCACTCAGATGGCTAAATTTTTGCAGTTCGGCCGCAAGACTTGTGGTTTAGTATCCTTAAGTTACATTGCTCAATCACCCCTTAAATTTATAATACAACTATTGAGATGATCAAGAAAGATGTAACAATTTAGATAATTGCCAATAATATTATAACAAGAATAATACAACACTTCCTAAACAAAGCGATATATCATCTTGCGCAGCTTTGATGGGTAAATGAATTGTTGAGGTAATGATTGATATGTTAATGCCATGTAAAAAAGATATTTTCTTTCATTAATTTCAAAATTCTATATACAGAACATGATACTCTCTAATTAATGTTCCAATAATTAATAATTTAATATTACAAGCAAAATAAATACAATACTATGAACTCTCCCTAGTTTTGTTGTGTTGTTAGTTTCA